AGAGAAGAGAAGAGAAGAGAAGAGAAGAGAAGAGAAGAGAAGAGAAGGCATTTATTAAGACTTACTATGTGCCTGACACTGCGCTGAGGTCTGGTATACAACGCTAGAGAAAGGAAGAGGGAAAGAGAAAGAGGAAGAAAAAAGAGAGGGAGTGAACATTTTTTAAGCACTTGCAATGTGCCAGGCACTGTGCTCAGAGATGGTAATGCAAAAACAACAATCTGTATCCTCAAGGAGCATACAGGGGACGATAAAAACATAAAGGGGAACTGGAAGCGGGGAATAGGAGATGCGCCGAAAGAACCTCGGGCCGTAGCTCTTGAGGAGGACCCCTCTGGTGTCGTTCATTCATTCCTTCCTTCCTTCAACCCACCCTTCTCCGCCCAGACCGAGTCTATTTCAGTATCCCGCAGGAAGGCTCCAGGAGATTCCCGGGACGCGCTCCGGGCTGGAGCTTCCGTAAGAGTAACAACGAGGGTGAAGATGATGATGGTAACGGTAACAACCACTCCCCATTCCTAGCCCGAGGACGAATCATCCCCCCCCACCCCCAGCCCTCCTCCCTCTAGCATAAAAGACTCGGAAACAGCCCCCAAATTTAAGCCAGGGTGAGAAGACAAATCTCCAATTCCATAAAAGCTCAGCAGGGTGGGGGTGGGGATGGAGGTGGGGGCCGAGTTTCTTTCCTCCTTGGGGTGTGGGGGTCGCCCTCCTCCTCTTCCGTCCCCCCCCCCCGCCCCCGACCCTCGGCCCCGGTACTCACAGAGGCAAAGCTCCACCACAAAGGTGTAGTAGGACCAGCAGATGACCACGGCGATGAAGAGCACCGGCACCCAGGCCGCGGTCCACTGGCAGCAGCGGAGCAGCCTCCAGGGCGTCATACTGGGCTGGCAAGCCCGGGGGTGCGTCCCGCCGCGGACCTGCAGCTGCGGAAGCCTGGCAGCCTGCAGCTGCTCCCCCTTGTCCTCGTCCTCGTCCTCCTCGGTGGCGGGAGCCCCTTCTCCTTCCTCTTCTTTTTCTTCCTCCTCCTCCTCTTCCTCCTCGGCTGTTGTCGTAGACGGCGTGGCCCTTCCTCGCACTGACCTCTTACCCCGCCCTCCTCCACACCCCATTCCAGTCCCGGCCGCCGCAAGCTCCAGCTGGTCTGCGCGCCTGCCACTGCAGGCTGGGGGTGGGGTGGGGCTAGGGTCAAGGCCCGGGCCGGGGTGGCCTCTGGTGGGAGGGGGGAGGAGGGGGAGAAAGAGAAAGAGACTGGGGGTAGGGGCGAAGATAGGAGACGGGGAGGGGAGGGGCCCCGCGCGAAGGGAGAGGGCGGGGCCTGAGGGAGGCGGGGCCTGCGGGGAGAGGAGGGCGGTGAGCGCGGGGGGGAGCCGCGGCAGTCTAGGGGTGGGCTGGGGTGGGAGACCACGGGTCCTGTGCTGCGGCTAGGTCAGAATGCTCGGGAGACCCGCTCCGTTGGGTCTTAGGGTCGCATTCCTGCCCCTCGCTCCACGTCCCCAACCCCAGTGCCCAGCTCAGTGTTGTCCTGCACATAAGCGCTCGAAGAAGGTTTGTTGAATTGAATTGGTGTACGTGCTCATCTTTGGGGGGAGCACCGCCCTCTGCAAGGAGTAACCCGTGACCTCTGAGAACATTCACTGTATATCACAAATACATCCCGAGGGTACCTCTTCTTACTTAACTGTTTTCAAAGATCCTTCTTTCTGTAGAGAGTGGAAATGGAGATCTGAAGGACAGAAGAAAGTAGTTGTGGATTTGGGGTGGGATAGGGGGAACATTATAAGGAAAGTTTTAAAACTCTTGTCAGCTTGAGTCCCCTAATTCAAATTGTAACTCAGGAGGCAAGAAGATCAGCAAATTGAAACATGACTAAAATCTTGCAGATTGGCCTTGATGGAGGGAGAACTAGAACCTCCCAAATCTGATTATTTTTAGTGCTGGAAAGTCCTGAAGAGTAGGCTGTGCCTGTTACCAAAACAGAAAATTCTAGGGAACACAGGGATGACATCATAATACAATGACAGAAGTAGGTAAGGAGATATTCCAAACAGTATTTATGTAACACTCCTGTAGTGTAGTTTGTAAACTATTTCTACTTTATTTAGCCTTTGCCTACTTCACCACTTCCCTCTCCTGTATCCATTTGGTGGCTGAGTCTTCAGGTCATTTTTTTATCATATATCCACTACTTCTCGATTCATGTAGCCAGGACCCCATCATCTCTCTTTCCTATTGCAGTAGCCTCCTGGCTGGTCTCCCAACTTCTAGTGTGTCCTTTCTTTACACAGTTGCCAAATTGTTATTTCGAAAATATATATCTATCTGACTGCATCATACACAGCCCCCCATCTTCAGGGGCTCCCTATTGCTTCTAGGATAAAATAAAAAATCTTCAATATAACATTTAAAGTCTTTCACAATTTAGTTCTCACTTACCTTTCCAGGCTTATTTCATATCACTCCCCTTCCCATACTCTTTGCTGCAGTCAAACTGTTCTGGTAGCTCTCTTCCTCACGTGAAACATTCTATCTAATACATATCTAGAATATACTCTCTTCACCTTTGCCTTATTGAATCTCTCCTTTCCCTAAAAACAAAACTCAGGTGACAACTCCCATACTGGTCTTTTCCTGATCCTTTTGGTTATTAGCACTTTCTCCTTCTTAAAATTGCCTTGAATACATTTTATATTTGCTTATATACATCTATCTTCTTCCCTAGAATATAAGCTCCATGAAGACAGAAGTTGTTTTGTTTTTGACTTACCATTCTCAGGAACCGGTGCAGTGCCTTATTCACAGTAACCCTTATTTAATAAGTGTTTGTTGAATTGAATCTTCATGAAGCAGACCTTCATTTTCCTGTGATATCAGAGGGCAAATAGCTCACTGTTAGTTCTGGCTACATTCTAAATACTGTGAATATAAGAGAGCAGGTGATGATAGCGGGAGGGCAGATTGGGGGAGGGAGTAATCAGAAGCAAACACTTGTAAGGAGGGACAGGGAGAGAATAGAATAAATGGGTTGGGGGAGATAGGATGAAGGGAAATATAGTTAGTTTTTCACAACATGACTACTATGGAAGTGTTTTGCATGACTACACATGTATAACCTGTATTGAGTTGCTTGCCTTCTTAATGAGGGTGAGTGGGGAGGGAGGAAGGGAGAAAATTTGGATTGAGTTGCTTGCCTTCTTAATGAGGGTGAGTGGGGAGGGAGGACGGGAGAAAATTTGGAACCCAAAGCTTTAAAAATAAATGTTAAAAATTGTTTTCACATGCAGCTGGGAAATAAGATATACAGGCAATGGGGTATAGAAATCTATCCTGCCCTACAGGAAAATAGAAGGGGAAAGCGGGGAGATACAAGGGAGGGCAGATTAGGGGAAGGGGTATTCAGAATGCTTGCCATCTTGGGATGGGGGAAGGGACAAGATGGGGAAAAAATTTGGAACTCAAAATTTTGTGGAAGCGAATGTTGAAAACTAAAAATAAATTAATAAGAAAACAAATAAAACAAAGGAAATGTGAGTTGTCTAGAGCCAAGTCTAGAGCCCTTTCCATGCTACATGTTCAAACAGATTGTTTGTGCCCACTCTGTTATAGTGCCTTCCAAGCTCGTATTGGACTAATCAGCCATAGTCATACATACTGTACCTTGACCCCAACATTGTGATGTCATTGGCCCTCTTTCAGTACGAAGGACCAACAACAATCCATCTGTAAAATCTGTAAAGTCTTCCAAACTTACCTCCATTGGTCTTCTGAAATGTGACTTTCTCCTTGAACCCTTCCCTGAAGCACCCTACCCTGAGCTCATAGTTAGAGTTGGAAAGGACCCTAGAGGTCCATGAGCCCAACTTTTACAAATGGAAGAAATTAATGAGGAAACTCTTATGGTACTTATTACCCCCAATAGACTCGTAGGCTCAAAGAAATTTAGAATTGGAAGGGAGCTTAGAGATCAACTAATCCAACACCTTTATTTTACAGAAGAGAAAACTGAGGCCCAAAGAGGGAGTGACTGAAAATTTTATAAATGTGGTTTGTGGCAGAGCTGGGTAAAGAGCCCAGAACTCTTGATTTCTACAGCAGTTCTGTTTTTACTGCCATGCTACCTCCATCCTATGGCACATTTTATGTCTTTGTATTTTCATTATTTGCATATATAAACTATTTTGCTTGAAGGGTTGTAGGCTCCCTAAGGGCAGGGGTAGTATCTTATTTCATATTTCATCTGTGTTGCTTTGCACAAATGTTTGTTCAATGAGTGAACTCACTCACTATGAAAATTATGTTTAAAAGCAGGAACTGATACTTGTCTTCTCTCTCTGTCTGCCGCCCATGCTGTCCTAGCAATAGTTTCTCTCCTATTAAATCCTTCCCAACTTTTACTTCCTTGATCTTTCCTTCCCCAAGGAGAGTAATAGGGAGAGCCTAGCATCAACAAAATAGTTACAGCCTATGTAGATTTAGCCCTCCTAGACTTTACTCAAATGATTCCTAGTATCTAGAACGCCCTCCCTCTACTCCCCAATCTTCTTAATGAAAGCCTACCCATTTTCTACCTAGAAGAACTTATGACAACTGAGGCAAAATTTTGCTTTGTCCTTTGAAGTATTCTTATATTCTGGACCTTCCAGTGTGTTAAGGCAGCTGGTGGTGCAGTGAATGGAGCACCCTGGCCTGGAGTCAGGAAAACAAGAATTCAAATCCAGCCTCAGATACTTACTACCTGTAAAATGAGAATAATGATAGAACCTACTTCCTAGGGTCATTGTAAGGATCCAATGAAATAATATATATTTTTAAAGTACTTGGCACAATGCTTGAGGTGCTATAGAAATGCTGATTCCCATCTCTTAAGTCCCAGCTCACAGTCAGTAATTTCGTTTCTTATTTAAACCTCACACTGCAGTGGTCTACATCTAGATTGTTCCCTTGCAGTTTTATCACACTCATTATAATACAACTCTTATACATATAATTTTATATAATGCAACTTTCATTTATACAACTCTTTCAGGTTTGCAAACTTTACAAACATTATCTCATTCTATAGAATAGTTCTTTCTGGATATATTTAACCCCCCTCCCCATTAGACTTTAAGCTGCATGAGAGTAGGGATTATGTCTTACATAATTTTTAAAAAATTTCCCAATTACCTAGATTAGTATTCCACACATAGGTTTTACTTAAAGGCCCCAAGGACCAATAATCTCCCAAGTGTTAATAACCCTTCTACTAATGTGTATCACTATTCCTCTTTAATTTAGCTGATGGTCAGTCTTCCAGAGTCTTTGTGGCCAAAAAATTCATCACCCCATGATCTACTTGGTAATAATCCTCTCTCGAACTTAGGTAAGTTGGTGCTTAGGTAACAGCCATGCAGTTCATCTCAAGGTCTCTCTGAAGAGCTTTAGTATTGATTTTGAGATATAGAAGACACTAGTCCATCCTCAGAGCCTTTCCAGCATGGCAGGATTGGCCAGAACTTGTACTCTAGCGGCACAGAGAACCCAAGTTCACCTTCCATGCCATGATAAAGCATCAAGGAAGAGCTAAATAATGAATCCTTAACATACCATTTGTAGGACTACAGAATTATGGAATCTTCCACTGGGAAGAGTCCCTGAAAGGCCATATGGTCCACATCCTATCTGAAGCATGAATCTCACCTTTAGTTACTCAGTGGAAATAGCACTTGGATACAAAGTACTTAGAGACAAAGGACCTAAACTGACATTCCAGCTCAACAACTTACTACCTGTGTGACCCTGGGTAACTCACTCAACCTCTTTGGCCCTCAGTTTCCTCACTTGTAAAACAAAGGAATCATACTAATTGACTTCTAAGGTCCCTTCCAGTTCTTTAATTTATGATGCGATGATCCATGAATTCCTACCAATAATCAATCAGCCTCTGCTTGAAGACCTCCAGTTATGAGGATTATTATTTCTCAAGGCATCTTATTCCATGCTAGATTGCCCTAATTGTTAGGAATTTCAGCCAACCTATAACAGCTGGTATTGGTCCTGATTCTGAGAGCCAGGCAAAATAAGTCTAATTCCTCTTCAATAAGACAAACCTTCCAATAATTTAAGACAGTTATCATCTTCCCTATTACAGCTTTACTTCTGCAGACTAAACATCACCA